GAACTCAGGACCTTGCACTTGCCAGGCAGGCACTTATGCCCCTGAGCTATCTTCCCAGCCCCCTTGCCCATAAATTGAAATGCATCTATGTGAGAAGGATGGCTGACCAGCTGCCTAACCAGGGAATAAATTAAGTTTTCCATTTTATTGGCTTTTTTCATGCTTCCAATGTGGGGGTGTATTCTTGGATGGTGGGTCCTTGGGGAATTCTTTCCAGCTTCTTGGTGTCCTGAACAAAGCATTGGACAAGACACATAGAAAAGCTAGTGGGAGACATTCATCTGAAGATGGAAAAGAAGGGTGCTGTGCAGAGTGAGAGCAACTGGGAGAGCGAGGCTCACAGCAGTAAAGGACAAAGGAACGGAGCCTGTTGTAGCTATTTTTCTTTTTTTTTTTTAATGTTTTTAGTATAGGATCTACAGGATCTCACTACATAGGTTGGACTTGCAGTGATTCTCCTGTTTTCAGCCTCCCAAGTGCTGGGATTACAGGAGTCTGCTATCAAGCCCAGTCTCAGTCACCGTCTCACTGTGCCCTGGGGAGAGGGGCTGGCACAGTACCCCGGGGATCAAACACAGTCCCTGCGTCTGCCTAAGTGGCCCTTTAGTCTGCTGAGCTATCTGGCTGGCCCTGTTGTAGCTAAAATTCTGAACTGGCTTCTCCCCAATGCAAATAAGGCACTGGGGTATTTGTGCTATCAAAACCTCACTTGGCCTGGCCCCAGATTTAAACTACGCTACCCAAAGGCCCTTTTGGGTTTGGTTAGATGTAAATGAAGAATCGAAAATAGCATTTTTCTAATTGATTCTGTGTGCTGGGCTCAGGATCTGCAGTCAACCTGAATTCTGTGTTCTGCTCCTGTCCCCTGAGTGACTGTGGCGGATTTCTCCCAGTTGCTTACCCTATTTTCCTCAGCCTTAATCTCCTGAAGAAGAGAAGCGAAGAAGAAGGATGTGAGGGTGATCTTCCTTCTTCCTCCACCTTCTCAAAGGCTGAGCAAGGTCCCTATTTTAGGATTGCACATTCTCACTCCTATCAAACTGCTTTAAGAAGGCGGCAGGATTGAAGTGGAAGCCAGAAATGTCTGCAATGTGTCTACAAACATAAGAAGGGGAGATAGTCATTTAGTTTTTCTCCACTAAGGTCTCTTCCGTTATGATTTGTGGCACAGGCAGAACTTGATGGGTTTTGGCCTACGACCACCCTTCGGAAGCCTCTACCCTGAAACTTGACAGAATCTAGCATGGCCTCTTGTCGCTTGAGGCTGCTGTCATAGATGGAACCCTGCTGATGGAAGGTGCCTGGTTCAGGAACCTGGAGGCTGCTGGGAGAATCTGCTTTTGTATTCCAGTGAAAACTTGGAGACATACAGGCCCTGAATCCACTCTGGAAACAGCTATTTCAGGAACCTTAGGATATTATATTACCTCTGTTATTAAAGTAAATCTATCATTCCAAATAGTCTCCTCAAGGAACTGACTCTCTGAAATGCAAACTTCCCAGGAGATCACTCTTGCTCTACCCCGGTGTTACTGGGGCCAACTTAGGTGGTGGGCACACGGCTCCCACCTGTGCCGCCGCCTCCTGTCATAAAGATACAGAGGTGTGCTGCTTCTTCGAGTAAACGCTCAGTCACACTGACTCCTTGTAGCACACTTACTGGGTCAGGGGTATAGCTCTATGGCACAGCACCCTCTTGGCAAGCGCAAGGATTCCCTGTACCAAAACGAAAACAGTAAGACAACGCTTGCTGCCCCTTGTCTTAGCACATCTCAGTCTTTAAAAAGTCTTCACGCGTTGTGAGGGGGCTTCTGTTAGCCCAGCACGCTGGGAGGCTGCAGGAGGAGGATCGCCAGTTTGAGCACTATCTGGGCAGCTCAGAAGATTTAATAGGCTCCCAAAATAAAGCAAAGGGCTGGCGATGTAGTTCAGTGCAGAAGGCCTTGAGTTTACCTTCTAATACCACATAATAAAAATAATAATGAGAAGGTAGGACAAGGGGGAGGGCAGAGGGGGGAGGGGTCTTCAGACTTACATTTTAGGGAAGTTGAGTTCTTTCCTATTGCGTTAGTGTTGTCACTGGGCTGGGTCTGGGGAAGTTTCCAAGCTGTAACAAGGTGTCTAACTGATCCTTCTTATAGAATAAGTTTGCAGGTTCACTGATCCCCATTGTAGGAAAACAAGTTTTAGTGACTCATTAGCTAAAGGTTCAGGAAGTATTTTGCTAGGCAGAAATTAAAAGGTCTGCACTCAAAGAAATAGAGTAGAGTATGGGCCATAAAGAGAAAGAGGAACTTATTTCCTGGAATAGGGAAGATTTATTTGTGCTTCTTTTGAGGGGGTAAAACAAACTCAGAAAAAGATGCTCCATTCCCAGAAACATAGTTCATTTTCTAAGCAGGAACCCAGTGTGTATGTGTGTGTGTGTGTGTCTGTGTGTCTGTGTGTGTGTGTGTGTGTGTGTGTGTGTGAGAGAGAGAGAGAGAGAGAGAGAGAGAGAGAGAGCTTAAACATTGTATTCTCTCAGCCTGCTCATTTATCTTAGCATCAATTTCCCCTCTTTATTTTTTTAGTTAAAGCCAATTTATGGACTGTCAGTATTCCAGAGGAATTTGGGGTGTGATAGGTCTGGAGAAAAGAAAGATAAATTTAACCATGGGAATACTGGTACAGATCGACATGGATGACTTCAACTGAGACCCGAAAGTTCCAGTCTTCTTAAAAGTACAATTTATTTGTGATTACTCTCACTTGCCATTTCATTTCTTTTATGTTACCTTAATATTACTGAGTGAGAATCTGTCTCCACCATTTTCATGTCTGGCTTTATGCTTAGCAATAATCAAATGCCTCCCGGATTCTGCTCACTTCTAAGTCTGGTAAATGAGGCACGGTCCTTTCCAGGGTTGGGGAGTGGCCTCATTTTGGGGAGATTCGAGAGGTTCTCCTTTTTGTGGAATCCAAGGTAGGCATTTTAGCCATCAGTCTGAGGAATCTGACTAACCTTTATAAAACTAGTAAGTGGATGTCTGCAAATACTGGGAATTACTGTAGATGCTCCTGTTCTCCATCTTGAGGAGGAAGGGGATGGGCCAGATAATTACAGGGCTATTAAACCTTTTACGAGCAGATTAGACAGATATTTCCTAAGTGATTAGTTTGCCTAAGTACAGCACTGAGCAGGGATCAGACCCAAAGATTTAAGACAAGAAAAGAGACAGATAAAAAATGAAGACACCAAACTTCGTCTTGCCTTTAGGTACTCATTGGGTAACTAATGCAAAATTACTTTGCGGTAGGGAGGTTCATCTTCTAAATCTCTCTTTCAATTATTCAGTAAATAATTATTAGTGTATGTCCTTAAGCCCTGACAAATACCAAAGAGAACTGTTCATTCTCTCTGTTGTTAACAGTAATGCACCTTTTTGTGGCATTCTTCTTATACTTATGTACTGGTTTCCTCCATTGAGGAGTGAATATTGACGTACATACTATTTTCTTGGCACCTTTCTAATTGGAAAGCTCAATATTTAATGTGTTTACTGAATTAATAAAGACAGGAAAAAAGGCAGCTATAGAGAAATGGTGGTGAGCTCCATAAACCAAAGTTGCGTAATAAGGCCAGGCGTGGCGGCTTATACCTGTAACACTAGCACTTTGGAAGGCCGAGGAAGGAGGATTACAAGTTCAAGTCTAGCATGTGCAATTTAGAAAGACCCTGTTTAAAAAGCAAAATAAATAAATAAATAAATAAATAAATAAATCAGTAGTTCAACACATGTGTAGTCTATTATCCATGAAGTAGCTCAGGGACTTCATCTCTCTCCTTTTGTGTTTTGCCTTCGCCTGGCTCTTGGTGTGCTCTGCTTCTAGTACAAGGAGAGAGACTAAGGGAATGACCCTCTGCCCAACTGTTTTGGCCAGAAGTGGCATGGCATTTCCTTTAGCAATCCATCACTCTTTCCTTTAGAGTAGTCAGTGCCAAAATGCAGAAACAGAGTCCACAGTAGTCAGGGCTGGGAAGGTGGGGACAGGGTCGAGGCCAGAGCATGTGCTTGAAAAACATATTTTTGAAAGGGTTGGGAACATAGCTCAATGCAAAGGTCTTGCATTCTATCCTCAATCCCAAGTACTGGAAAAAAAAAAGAATAATTTGCCTCAAAATTGTTGAAAATTTACATAGCCCTAGGCCAAGACGTAGTAGGTTCCCGGAGTGGTAATAAGCAACTTAATCCACCCTATGCAGATAATAAATTTTAGGTTTGCTGACTTCTATCACAGAAAAAGAAATTTCAGGCTACATCAGTAAGACGCATAGGCAGAATTCTAAAAATACACACTTAAGGAAATAAAGTGTGGGCCCTTAAGACGGAGACGGATTATGAGTCGGAGCTCGGTATATTTGTGAAATCTTGAGATGTCTGCAAGGTGGGTGTGCTAGGGTGTGTACTGCTGTTGTCTGTCAGGTAGCCAGCTGGTGGGCTGAGTTAGAATACCAACACATTTGCATGTATTTGAAGTGGAAATATGTCCCCTACTAATCTTGCTTTTCTTTGAAGACTGAGGTTTGTGAGAGGAGATGATTTTCCTATGAAAAGCACAGGCCAAGGGCCAGATTTGCAGGATTATTATAGTTTTAAAACCTTGAGGAATTTTTTTGAGTCAATTTTCTAGAAGGGAGATGAATAAATTTTGTGTCCTGAGGCTAGTTTTCTTTAAAAGTAGTTTTAAAATTCTGATTTTCCTTGTCTCCTTTCTACTTATCTTTATTTCTTTTCTTCTGCATGAGGCTGAGTCAATCACTCATGCCGATTACAGTTGCGAGACCTACAAGGCAATAGATGGTCTGAGTCTATATATTTGTCCCCTATTTGGTCTTAATGAGATAACATGCAGCCTCTTAAATTTCTTAGTAGTTCAGTCTCAAAAACAGGATCTAAGGGTATAATTGGGAAATATCTACGGTATTTTCATTTCCTGCTTTTGGGTGTTTGGTTGGCCCACATAAACTCAACTGGTTAAACTTCAGTAAATGCGTATCCCACATGACTTGATTTATAGTTTCTCTTTTCTCCACAGGAAGAAAAGAAGAAGCCATACTCAGATGTTACATCTACTTAGAACTCTACAGAGCAATGGAATATCATCCTGACTTGGATATGGTGGATGAAGATGGATACACTAAATTAAATTTTAGTACTCGAGGCGCCACCAGAAGAACTGTGAGCTTAGAGAAAGGTACTTTTCTCTTTCTGTCTTTAGTGCTCTTGTTCTTATCACAGGCAAAATACTAACAGTAAAGAAAATATGACACACTAAGGACTCTAGAATTTTCAGGGATATAGATATACAAATCTTTCAATAGTCTGCAGATTATTTAAATATTCACTGTCTTTTCTAATAAAAACTATTCATTGATTCATTATGTTATCTAAGTTAATTATGTTTTGTGATAACCAATACAATTTATTTTATTCTATTAATTTTTATTAATTTTAATGAGAAAAAAATAACAATGAGACAGTTTCAAAACAGGTTAGTAGGACAGTTACAATAATCAATACATTGCATATTGTTGTCTTTGTAGTAGTTATTCAGAGTACAAGATGCAGACATGATAGCTTGCCTAAACACTATCAGTACAAATCTTTCTTCTCATTGAACTAAGACCAACGTAGAATTAGTGAATTCATCAGTAGCGAGGAGTTGGTAATAAGTGTGAAGAAAACAGAGTTGAATGAATTTCAACAAAGTAATTCCTTGCTTTCCTGGTAGACAGAGTCAATTATAGGAGAGATGTCCCAGAAACTTTAGCAAGTATATATGAAAAGCATCATAAAATAGGAAATAAGAATTTGAAGACAGGTGGGTATGATGGCGCATGCTGGTAATCCCAGCACTTGGGAGACTAAGGCAGGAAGGCTGCTAAGAGTTCAAGGCCAGCCTTGGCTGCATAGCATATTCAAGGCTAGTTTGAATTATATAATAAGACCCTGTGTAAAAAACCAAAACAAAACAAAAAAACAGGCCTGAGACAAAGAGAAATAAGTGAAAACAAAATCCTAGGTTTTGTGTTAAAGATCAAAGTAAAGTCAGCAATCAGGGTTTAGAAACTCAAATATAATGTGTTTTTGCAGTAAAACATGGAATTGGATTTGTCGTCTTTTATTTCAAAAAGTTCTTGGTATGCAGTAATGCATAAAATAGATGTTAGATGTCACACTAGCAGGACATACCTTTTTTAAAAAAAATAAAAAAGAGGACTTTAGAGGACCTTTCCTTTGGTGGAATGAGTGATGTAGTCACCACTGCAGACCTCCTATTTGACAATTCTGTGAGATTCTCTTACTGTCTTGTTTATTCCCAGTGAAAAGCTGAGATGTATTCATGGAACTATAATAATACAAAATCCGCTTCTCACAATCTTTATGAGAGAGATGAGTCACAGGTTTTGATCTTGGGGTTTGCTTTCTTCTGATTTTTGCTTTTCACATTGCACAGTTGTCTCCCTCTTATCACCACTTACGCAATTCTTTTCTTGGGAAACTTGATTTCAGAAAAGTAGGCATAAAGGTGACAGAAGCAGTAGCGTCTGTCAATGTGTAAACAGCAAATAATCTACAACACGCATGTAATTTCAAAAGGAGATGATTCTACATGTGCTAGCTCACTTGTTTTTCACAATAATCCCTGAGATATGACCTCCATTTCACAAATCTTTTTTTAAAAAGAAGTAACAAAAATAAAATAAAATAATTTGGTCAAGCCCAAATAAATGCAAAGGGAAGCTGACCCCTGATCATCAGGGCTATTTCCCCATATGTAAGGCTGGTTTCTTAAAGAATGAGTGAAATTTCAGGGATCTGCGTAGCATCAAGGCCCACTGACAACAAAGTCAGAAAGAACAGGTACATGGGGATGTGTTAAGATCATGGTTCCAGCCACTGAAGAAGAGGTGTCCTAAGTGGGGGAAGACCAGACCCAAACCACTAGATTATCGAGAAGCCAACAATTAATGAATCCTGAGGGATTTGACTGACCCTGCCAGATACAAAAGTTACATTTCCTGTTATATAGGTCTTGCTTTATCTTGGTCTTAACCATCCAGAAAAGTATAAAAATGAGGTTTAAAAAGTAAAGCCACATTAATAGGCTGAGCTGTAAAAGGCTCAAGTCCACATCTTCTGATATTGTCAGTCCTAAGGATAACCCCCTACTATTATGGACTACTGGACAATATTGGAATATTTTGCTGAATTCATGCACCTACAATATTTAAATGGCAATGGAATATCCATCTCTAAGAAAACTAAACAAAAGGGGCTATAAATGAAGGACCATTTGTAATGATTAATATATATATATATATATATGTATGTATATATACACACACACACACACACAATAGTAAGGTAGATATACAACTTTCTCTTAGTTCAGTGAGAGGAAAGATTTGTATTAATAGTGTTTAGACAAGACAGCATGTCTACATCTTGTACTATAAATTACTACTACAAAGACAACAATATGCAATGTGTTAATTATTGTAATTGTCCTACTAACCTGTTTTGAAACTGTCTCAATGCTATTTCTTTCTCAATAAAACTAATATATATATATATGAATCCCCTTGGAATTTTAGCTTATTGTATAATTAAAGCGCTCCAAGGCCCATCGTCAGCCTTTCCACTGAACCTCGTCTCCCTTCGGCTCCTCAGGAACTTCTGCTGTGTCTCCTCCTTGGAGGCTCATTGCTGTACTTTTGGGAATTTTATGCACGGTGATGCTAGTGATAGCTGTGGCCCTGGGCTTCCTGAGTGAGTATCTGGGAAGATTAATAACATCTATAGACATTTAATAAGGATTTATGTGGGCCAGGCTCTCTTTCAAGGAACTGACATGTGTGAACTAATTTATTTTATATATTAACCCTATTTATTGAGTTGGTGCTATTACATTTCAGTTAGAAGTCAAGAGACTGAGGGGTCTCCTAGTGGGAGAATCAGGATCAGAAAATTTAGGTCATCTGTGTAACAGCTCAGATTCTTAACTGTATTTTTTTATTCACTTCCTTAAACATTTGCTTTCAAAACTGGATTTTTTGAATGATAAATTAATGGAAGTAAAACTGTAAGCTGGAGAAAGAAGTATGATATGATACTATTCCATAATGAAGTAAATTTGCTAGAGATATTATAAGTGATTTTCATGAATCTAACAAGCTGCAGAAATTATTTCATACCTGATCATTATTATAAACTATTTCATATATACTAGGAATTGCCTGAGACCCTTAGTTAACATTTTATGATAGATGAATAGATTGTCTTATTTTTTCTCTTTTATCTCTCATGCATTCTTTTGTCAGTAAAGTACTACTGAATCTTCAAAAAATCTTCATGACATTCCTTTATTAAAAAATATTTATTACCTACACTTTATATTATAAGTGTCAAGCAGGTTTAAGAGAAGCTCTCATTTATTTTTTTTTGCGGAACCGGGGATTGAACTCAAGTCCTTGCGCTTGCCAGGGAAGTGCTTATTCCACTGAGCCATCTCCCCGGCCCCTCATTTTTTAATCATAAAAAGAAATATTACTATTCCTGGTCTTCAAGGTTCTAATTGATTATGCTATTTGCCTCTTGTTGTCTTCCTCATTCATTACCTCTTTCTTTCTTTCTTTCTTTCTTTCTTTCTTTCTTTCTTTCTTTCTTTCTTTCTTTCTTTCTTTCTTTCTT